AAAAACTACCATAAAAAACAGTGAAGAGAGGATGAGCTTTTTGGCGTTAGGCAGATTGTGCTTCTGATCTTAGCTCTACTGCTGCCTGGCTATGTGGCCTCGAGCACATGACTTCAACTTCCTGAGTGCCTTTCCTAATCTGTCACAATCAGGAAAGGACTTCTTCCTACCCTGCAGGGTTGCCATGAGAATCAGAGTCGGTCCGTTGGGATTTGTGATCATCTGTTGACCTCCCACTTTCTTATGTGAGATGCAAGAGGTGAAAATAGTAAAGGTCTGGACTTAATAGGCAGGCTCTGTCTTGGGCATCGTCCTGGTCCCATAATGCAGTTGAAACATGCTGTCTAATTAGTATTCATTTGGTCATGTGGACTGTCTAAAATGGCCAGACACTTGATTTTTTTGAAAAATTTATAACAAGGAGACTGTGAAAAGGGACAGGACATTTTAAGTTTTTATTACCCTTTTTATCTTTTTCTAGTTCTTCCTCTGGTGTTTGTTTGTGTTTGTTTTTGTTTTTTTCCTCTGTCAGTAGATAATCTGGATCACCAAATTTTCTTTAAGTGATGATTGAATTTGACTTAGTTTTAACTATTTACCAAATGATGATGGTTGCCCTAAGTGGTGTTTTAATTTATTATCAGTGCTAAATATGACCTTATGCTTGAAGCTCCGATGGTATAGCAGGAAACTATGGCTCTGCTATTTGTAATATTAGCCATTACTTTAAAGTTATGCAGTCCCCTTAGTGTGTTGGTAGAGTGAAGTAGAAAGTGGTTGGTTAGCAAATGTTCATAAGAAAAGGAATGATTTATGAGTCAAGGTGTTTTTAAAATACGTCTTGCATGCCAAGATGTATCTAATAAAATATGAATTTCAGTGCTGAAGGAACCTTGGAGAAGCTCTTATGCAACTCTTATTTTAAATGAGAAATGTGAGTACAGAAAGGCTAAGTGACTTTCCTAGGTCACAAACCAGGGTAGTGTAGAAAGAAGAGTCCAGTTTTCCACTTCCTTTTAGAAAATGGTAATTGATTAAAAGGATACCCTGTCTTCATGTCCACAGGTGCCACCACTCACCACCCAACTATATTTTATCATTTTACCATTTTGTTCTGTGCAAGTGTTGTCAGTTGTGAATTATGATAATAATTCAACAAGCCTGCATACATGTTTGTAATATTTGCTAAGTTGATTTTATAAGCTGCAAGCAGTCATTCTGTCCTTGTTTTATAATTAGTCAATGAAATGAAGCCATTACAAGATACCCAGTATAGAGCATCTCATTACAGCAAGGCATCTGCTTTTATCCGTGGAGCTAACACTATATCCAAATGTGAGTCTGAGTCCTAATAGTGTTATCAGTCTCTACTTTCTCCTCTTACTCAGCTCAGATTATACTTTGATCTAATATTTATTAATTTTATTGTATATATGTACTTTATGGCAATGGCCTCAAATTCATCTTGAAAGCAGGAGTGTAAAAATTAATAGAAGATGGCATTTTAGTTATAATAAAAATATTTAATAAAGATTAATAAAATTATTTCCTTTCATATTTTTAATTTTATAAAATTCATACATGTTAGCCTCAGGTTTTAAATGTAAGTGATTAATATCTTGTTTTTGATATAATTAACTACTTGAGTCCTACTTTAACATTTTTGCTTTTTAAAAAAGTGGTAAACACAAATTGAAACACAGGTAACAGGTGTATTATAGAAGGACCACTTTAAGATTTTCAAAGTGGTCAGAACAGGCCTGCCTGATTTTATAGACTGATTTCTGTTTATCAAAGTTTTCCTGTGTCTATGTTAAAGAAAAAATTCTATTAAGAAGTCTGTATATAATTTGGGGGAAAAAATTAAAAAGTGAACTGACCTACACACACAAGAATTCCTGACAAGAGGGGGAGCCTATTTGCATGTGGGTTGGGCCGATGCAAATGCAAACTGGCATCTTAACAACTGCACTTATCTTTGACAACATACTATAGGACTTACACAGACTTTGGGTATAAGGATTCCTTTTCACAAGCTTAGGAAAGCATTTGTGGCTCATTTGAGATGGTCTTGGCTATGTAGAGGCACTTCTTTCAGAGGAGGTATATTTGGATTTGAATTTTAAAGGATGGTGAATATTTTGGCAGAGGTAAGGAATGGGGCAATTTTAAGGGAAGGAAATATCCAGAATAAAAGCATAATTGTCTCATAGGGCTGCCCATGTGACCAGTTGTAGTGTTGTAGACTATAAGACTGGGACTGATGAGTGAATAGACTGAAAGAAAGGCATGATTGATGCATTGATGCAGGGGAAATGCAGGGACCTGGAGGATACTTCCTGGAGGCTGGAAGGTGGCGGTAGTGGTGAGGAGATAGTCAGGGATACCTTCTTGGAGGAAGTGGTGTACAAATTTTGACCTGAGAAATGAGTGGAAATTACAGAAACAAAAAGGAGGAAAGAGAGGGAAGGAGGAGTATGTGTAGAGGCCATTTGCAGGAGCAAGCAGGTGGAAGAACTGGGAGAATGTCCATGGAGGAAATTGAATCTTTTATGCTGTATTATAGGTGCCTGAGGGTTGTGTAAGCAGCACTGTCTAGTACGTAGGTAGACAGATCAGGAAGCGAGTACAGAGATCTGAGCTGTCCATAGAGATTCAGAAGTCAGTAGCACACAGAGGTTAACTGGAGCCATGGGAATGGAGCTGAAACCCAGGCAGAAGGTAAAGTGGCCTCAGAAAGGGGAAGGCCAGAGCAGACTGTTGCCTGGGGGATGAGGAAGTGGAGATGAAGTGGGCATGGAACTTTCTTTCAAGAAATTTGGCTGTGAAAGGGGAGGGAAAAGGGCTATAGCAAGATGGGGGAATCTGGGTTCAAGGGAATTTTTTCTTTTAAGATGAGGAAGAATTTGGAGAGTATTTAAATGCTGACGAGAAAGAGCAGTTTAAGTGGGATTGGCTGGAGATAAAGGAGAGGGGCGGTTAAGAGAGGCATGAAGCCTCAGAGGAATGGGTCCAGATCATAAGAGGGCACAAGGGAAGCAGAGCAGGGGCCCCTCTTGGAGTTCAGCCCACAGGTGGAGGAGGAGCTGGGTGAATGTGGGCAAGAGTGTGAGTCCATGGTCAGGGGTTGAGGGGAGTCTCATTGAATGGGTTCTGTTTCCTGTGAAGTCTGCAGTTGAGTCCATCCGCTCAAAGGAGGGAGGAGTTGGTGGGCTGGAGGTTTTCCTGTAGAGGAGGCAGTTTGAAGTAGCCACTGTGGATGGTAGGAAAAGTGCAGTCTCAGGAAACAGAGTTGTCACTGTGCAGAGGGCTTTGTCTTCCCCCTGATTATAGCCAGGGCCAGCCACAGACATAGAATAATATCGAATCAGTCACTTTGTTCATAATGATAACTAACTTCTCAGTAGCTTAAATCTTGATTATAGTTGGTCAAATGAATTTTGAGAATTAAAAGAAAAACAACTTCCAAAAATGCTTTTTATTTTAAAATTTGTGTTATTAATAGTAATTTAAAACATTTTGTTTAAAAGTGTACTTCTTCCAAATGAAGATGATTGACTTCTCTTGTTGGCTGGTTTTAGACACTCATGGTGGCTTGGATCCGAGCAAACCTCTGTGTGTACATTTCTCGAGAGCTCTGGGATGACTTTCTTGGTGTGCTGTCCTCCCTCACGGAATGGGAGGAGCTTATAAATGAGTGGGCCAACATTATGGACTCCTTGACAGCAGTGCTTGCAAGAACCGTTTATGGAGTTGAGATGACAAACCTACCTCTGGATAAATTAAGTGAACAAAAGGAAAAGAAGCAACGAGGCAAAGGTATTTCCACTCTTCCAGGTTAACACCATATGTCTAGGACTGGGGACAAATGGGTTATTTGTATGACTCAGCAACTAATGCATGAAATTTTATCATGAACTGAACCAACTGCATGATGTCTTCTTATAGTGGCATTAATTTGTGTCTAGTATTATTCTGCTCCGTTAATGAGATAGTGAATTTCTGAGGAGGCTATGCAAGAAGGAAGATGAAAGTGCTAGTAATAGTAGTGATAGTTAACAGTAATAATAAAGGCGATTACATTGTACATATTATCTCTCTTTACCTTCATAATAACGTAGTGAACTGTAGATACTTATATGATCCCCATATCAAAGACAAAGCAACTGAAGTACAGAGACTTTGCAGGGATGTCCAATCCTTTGGCTTCTCTGGGCCACATTGGAAGAATTGGGCCACACATAAAATACACTAAAACTAACAATAGCAGATGAGCTAAAACAAAAAAAAAAATTGCAAAAAAAATCTCATATTGTTTTAAGAAAGTTTACAAATTTGTGTTGGGCTGCATTCAAAGCCATTCTGGGCTGCATTTGGCCCATGGGTCACGGGTTTTGGACAAGATTGCTTTACAGTAATTGACTTATCCAAGGCCACATAGTTAAGAATTAGTAAAGCCAGAAATCAGAGCTGGGTAAGTACAACTCACGATGTAACGCTATTAACATGCATTCTACAGCCTCTCTAGGAAACATGGAGAAATTTTGAATGCTTCACATGGGAGCTATTTTGGCTTTGTATTTCTGGGTAAAAGTTGTTTGGGGACCGAGAACCTCAAATGAAACTGATGTTTTCAAGGTAGACAACGTCAGTGGTAGTTTCTATTAGGAATGACAATTTGGCATCCCCTTGTCTTAATTGCCGTTCTTAAGGAAGTGGCATGGTCCTTGGATTAATTCACTGGTACTCCAACCTTACTCTGTAAAGATTTGAGGCAGCTCATACAAAGGCATATAGTACAGTAGACCAAATACAAAATAGAGTCAAAATTAGTAGGATTGCAGGGAACTGCCAGTATGGTTAAGATGCCAAAATGCATGCCGTAGAGCCTCATGGGCTTGCTGGGGAGGTACAGAAGTCAAACATTGGGTTTGATTTTGGCCTTAGCAGGGTTACATCAAATAGAGAATCACACAGCACATAGGGTAAAACAATTCACTCATCTAGGTGTTGCATGGCTTTTATTAGGTCCTCCTAAGACTTGGAAGTTTTCTTTCAAAGCCTCATAAAGGGTACACATTGCTTATTGTGTAGACTACCCTTTAGGAATACCAGCCTTATTATGGATTATATCAGTGTGCCTTTGCCATGTGACAAATCACCCAAAACTTAGTGGCTTAAAATAACCACTTATTTATCTTGATTTGATGAGTTGACAATTTGGGTGGGACTCAGCAGGTCAGTTCTTCTGCTAGTCTTTGCTTCTGTGTTTGCAGTCAGCGAGGCTGTGAAATAACGAGGGAGCTCTATTTTTAGGGGTTGGCTGGCTGTTAGCAGGGGCAATGAGATATGACTGGGTTACGTGTTTCAGCAGCCAGAGGCTAGCTCAGGCTTGTTTACCGAGTAGCTTAGAGTTTCAGGAGCAGCAAGAGGGTAAGCTCAAATTTTCAAGTGCATTTCGAGTCTCTGCTTGTTCAGTTTTGCTACCAAAGTAAGTCACGTGAGGAAGCCTAGCCTCAGTATGGGAGATGACAACAGAGGAGGTGGTTACAGAGAGGTGTGAACCAGTTCCAGTGGTTAGTAAACCATATACATGTGTAATAAATGTGACAGATTCTTATAATATCTTCATAGAAATCTAAGAATGGCTTGCCAAAGCACTAATTAAAAAAAGCAAGTTAGTAAGAAGACAAAATAAAGCAGTTGAAGTATATGGCAATTCAGTCGAACAGTTTAATCCCAATGTGGATTTAGATTGTCTAATGCAATCATTTTCTAACAGTTTTAACAGACCTTTTTTTCCTCCCAAGTTGAAGGTATACAGGACCCATTTCTAAAGAAATATACTAGACCTGAGATTTGGGACTGAAGTAACGGCAGGGAGCCAAGAGCCTGGGCCCTTGGCCTCAATTTAGCCCTCTCTAGCACCTCTGAGGACCTCTGTGTAGACCCAGGGCCTGAGAGGATCCAGACACTTCCAACTAGGAACTTGGTTACCTAAGACAGTGGTTCTCGGCCAAGAAGAGAACCTGCCCAGCTAAGGGTACCTTTCAGGCTCAAGAGGAGAGCTGTAATAGGAGATAAGGACCTACCTTCAATTGTTGTAATCCATGCACGAGCATGTGTGTAGACACACACACACCCCTACCTGCCATTCTGCAATATTCTCGTCACACACACACACACACACACGCACGCGCACACACACACCACACACACACCTGCCATTCTGCAATATTCTCTTCCTACCCACAGATTCATCTGAAGAGGTATACTTGTGTTAGGAAGGCAAACAACTTTGAAAACATTGTTTTCAAAATGTACTGAACCAATTATTTAATTAATGACAGTGACTAATATTTCTGATTTGTATTGTTTTAGTCTAAAAAGCATTTAAATATTTATTATAGAAATGCTTGCCTTCTAAGGGCTAGACTACTAGAAACAAAAAACACAGGCAGAGGAAACTGGGTTTGGGAAACATGCCACAGGTGGCAGTCACTGGCCACATCATCCGTGTGCAGAAATCTCTACGTCTCTCATTCTCTTTCCTCCTCTACTTGTTTTGGATCTGTAACCTCTCATTGAGATAATTAAACCAGAACAATATGAGAAAAAAGAAAAGTTGAATTTCACATTATAATGTTTTATTGTTTTGGACCTTTGCTAAAATAGGATATTGTATTATTTTTAGATTTTCATTATCCTGCCCATTTGACTGAATCTATATTAGAGTTTTAGGCATGGATTGCTCTGGGGATTTGTGGAGGGGTTGGTGTGTACAGGACGCAGTACTATTCTAACATCAGGATCTCTGAGTTTTTGGTTTATAAGTTGTGGTTTTTGGAGTGTCCTGGGAACAGTGGTATAACTTCATATGATACTGTTCTTGTATTGAGAAAGGTTTATTAATATTTCTTTTGTATACTGGAGTGAGTACTATGAAGATGTAATAATATTCATAAGACTATTTTAGATTCTTGAAAATATTTTGGCAACAAGAATTCTTAGATTAGTGACATATGAATAACTTCCTAAATTGCAGTGTAAAGAAGTGGTACTTAATTTGTGACAAAGAAACCTGCTGATTATTTACAGTTGTATGTATGCCATTTGCTGAGCAACACAAGCTATGAAATGAATAATAATGAATTCAGCCATTAGATTATTTTTCTTATCCTTTATCAGGCTGTGTTCTAGATCCTCAGAAAGGAACCACTGTGGGGAGATCCTTTTCTCTCAGCTGGCGGAGCCACCCAGATGTGACCGAGCCTATGCGATTTAGGAGTGCCACCACGTCTGGAGCACCGGGAGTGGAGAAGGCAAGAAATATTGTTCGCCAAAAAGCAACTGGTAAACGTTTATTTAAATGCTTCTCAAAAATCTAGTTGTTATCTAAAATGAATGTATAGGCATAAAGTGTGTTAAAATTCTACTCAAAATTTAAATATTATACCTTGTATTACACGAAATGTCTCTATATCTTCTTAGCTTTCAGCTCTAGTTACTTTTCAAATCGCAGTTTTCAGTTATTTATTTCTAAATTTTCCATTGTGAAAAAGAACTTGTGATGTTAATATTGAGTGAGACATTTGTGCAAAATGGGGAAAATAGAGTTTTTGTTTGAACCTTGAAGAAAACAGATTGTTAATAAATACACCAGTTGTTGCATTATTGTTAATGTTAATATTGACCTTTAGAGTGTGGCAACCTGTTTCAGCAAAGAATAGGAGAATTGTGCACTTTAGTTTTCAGGACTGGATAGACATTTCATATTTTGCTCCTTTGGAAAATCGAGTCTTTTCATGCTTGTGGATGTTATATCTTTGTAGCCTATTTCAATTAACGAGAACTTGACCAACAACCCCCAGTTAATTGGACAACTTTGCTGCATTTTACTCTTAAAACAAAAAGTGAACTCTTGAAAAAGAAGCTTGTATACAGCATTTAATTAGAACAAATAAAGCCACCTCCTCCCCAGTGACTTTGAACCTGTGACTTAGGTTTAAGACAATTTTAATTGCTATTTAGCATGTTGACTTAAGAAAGTCACAAGATCCTCTGGCCATAAAACAAAGATTCATTAAAGCTCAACATATTCTATAGTGCTTGGTAAAATCTTAATATAGATGGTTTAGAATCCTGTTGGAGTATTTATGAAAATATATTCCACCTTAACTGTAACTCTCTCATCCTTTTTTGCTGTAGTATTTGCTGGAAATTATCACCTTATTTGCATGCATGGCCTATTCTGCTTCTCCCTTCTGTCATTCTCTCCCCTGAGGAGAGACCCAATTCCTGATTAATAGGCTACTTTTGAGGATGTTCATTCACTGATTTTGCTTCTTATTCCAATTCCTAAAAACGATTTTCTTCTATCATTAGAATCTTTTTTTTTTTTTTTTTTTTTTTTTTTTTTTTTTTTTTTTTTTT